CACATTATGACCTACAACCACTTTATCTCAAAAGTCTCTCTCAAGTTTAATATGCTAAAACCAACATACACGCTCAAAATTATTTTGATTTTTGTTCGTTTTTTTACCATGATGAGCAAACACAAAAGTGGTGTCTTCTTGCCAACATGAAACTACTATGTGGGAGGCAAAAATGTGTACATTTTATTTCAAAACTATCTACCTGAAACAAGTTTTGTGGTTCACAAGATGGAGGTCTTGGTTAAGCAAGAGGTTAGGATTTCAGTCAGATTTTCCAGCAGAGGCAAAGGGACTATCTCCTTGGACTCTTCAACCACCCAAAGTGTATTTGAACCAATTCATTTGTACACCATTTATTTTATTATTCAGTATTAGAAGCTTAGTTATTTAGTTTTAAAATTTATTTCAAGAAATTTAATGACATTGTTCTGATAAAAATGAGAGGTACCTACAAATATAATTTAAAATTGGGATTTTGGGGGCACCGGGGTGGCTCAGTTGGTTAAGTGTCTGACTCTTGATTTCAGCTCAGGTCATGATCTTAGGGTCCTGAGCTAGAGCCCTGAGTCCAGCTCAGCATGGAGTCTGCTTAAGAGTCTCTCTCTCCCTCCTCCCCCCCACCCCTCACCCCCATCCCCACTTGCATGTGCACATGTGCATGTGCACTCTCTCTCTCTCTCAAAAAAAAATTGGGATTTTTAATTATGCAATATAAAAACTGGGGTGTGTCTACATATAGCAACTTAGTTGACAGTTTTCATAGAACTGGCAAGTTAAATATACAGATTATTTCATTAATTTCTTCCCCTGAATGGAATGGTCTGTGAATGGAGTTGATTGATCAAATCAGTGTTTTATCAATCAAGTTATTACATATATTAAAATATTCAATTTAATAATGCACAATTATTTTTACCTCCTTAGAAGTTTGGAAGTATTTTTAGATATTGAGAAGTAAGTAGGAAAAGGAATAACTAGATATGGATCCATGAAGAAGTACGGTTTCATGCTTGATTTCATTAATAGCAAATGCCAGAACAGAATCTGAGATTCTGATAATACTACATCAATATTTGTGAATTTATCTACATATTCATTGACAAGAGTGGACTACAACATTCTTTAAAGCTTCTTTTCTGGGCGCCTGGATGGCTCAGTCAGTTAAGCGACTGCCTTCGGCTCAGGTCATGATCCTGGAGTCCCGGGATCGAGTCCCGCATCGGGTTCTCCGCTCAGCGGGGAGTCTGCTTCTCCCTCTGACCCTCTTCCCTCTTGTGCTTTCTCTCATTCTCTCTCTCTCTCAAATAAATAAATAAAATCTTAAAAAAAAAAGCTTCTTTTCTATCTAGACGGTTTGTTCTGAATTCTTTGGCTGTACTGCTATTTTCTATTGTTTACTGACATTCATTCTAGCAATTAAGAGAAAATCCAGCACCTCCATTCTGTAGGTCCCCATTCAATGCCATATTTCTACTATTACATTTCTCAAAGAGAAAATATCTTTATGTCCAAATGAAAATTTCTTTTTTGGAAAACAGAAGATGCTAAACCAATCGATGATGGTTAGGGTTCCCAACTTTTTTTCTTTTTTAAAGATTTATTTATTTATTTTAGAGAGGGAGAATGAACAAGCCAGGGAGGGGCAGAGGGAGAAGGAAAGAGAGAGAATCCTGAAGCAGACTCCCTGCTGAATATTGCGCCTGATGCAGGGCTCAATCCCAGGACCCTGAGATCATGACCTGAGCCAAAATCAAGAGTTGGCCGCTTCACTGACTGAGCCACCCAGGCGTCCCCAACTTATGTTTTTATTTTACTTTTTTCCCGTTGAGAACATTTTAACTTTCTTGTGTAGTTCGAGACTTTTATTTTATTTATTTTATCAAGTCACGTAGTCTAAACAGAAAAATTTATTATCAATACGTTCTATGAATGGATTGATGAAAAGCATCTGAGTTTTTGATACCAATAAATACATGTTTCATATCTACTTGAAACTCAAATCAAGATGAGTTGGCCAGCCTCTTTCATTGAGAACTACATAATAATACTCAAATTAAAATAACTGATGAGTAGAGAAGTCACAAATGCTGGGCAGTTATGGAGGGAATATAATAAGAAGGCCCCCTAAGGAGAGATGGCAAGATTTGTGTCTTTCCCTGTCTCTGTTCTTTCCTGCAATGTGATTAGGGAGGAACAGTCTGGACTATTTACTGATTCCATCCAAACTGACTCAAAGTGCCAGAGTGTCAACAAGGGTGGTACTTTCTTTTGCTACTGGCTTCTTAGTTTTAGAGTTTGGCATGATGCTAGTTTCAAGCTCGCCAGCAGCTGTAAACGCTTTATTCTATTTTATTTCCAAGGTTACAAAAGAAATGGTATTATTTATAATTTTAATCACCAAAGGTACAAATATCAAATGGTTAATACATGAACAATTTTAGAAAGGGAAAAATTTCTCCATGCCACATCACATTAACATTGAACAAATGTAGTATGCCAACTCTGTCAAATGGGAGTGAGGTAGAGGTGTTCTTGACCTTTTCCAGGCCTAGAGTTACGCTATTGTTCATACTCAATATGGTTTTCTCTTCAGCACAATATTTGCTAATGGGACTTATTTCTACAGTTGCTTAAAAAAATTTCTTTCTGGAAAACATAACTAGTCTATATGTATATATTGCAGGTGCAGTCTGAGGCAACTGATGATTTTTAAAAGTGTCTTTTTTTTCACTTTAGTAACCAAGGTTACCAAAAAACACACTGGCAACATGTGTTTAATGTGAACAGTAATTCCTTAGGAAAATGGAAACAAAACAAAACAAAAAATATTTTATGATTAAAAACGCAGAATTTAGTGTAGCAATAGAGTTTAAAATTCTGTATTTAGAATTTAAATTATTCTTATAATTTAAATATTTAGAATATAAATATAGCCCTTAATTGTAAAAATATGTTGGTGTTTCTGGATGAATTAATCTACAAAGATAGAATGATGTGGAAATAATACAAAATGAATAAATTCAGGATCCAGAGTGAGAACACTGTCTTAAAACATATGAAATTGAAGTCAAGAGAAAGATGTGCATAAACAGTGTAAAAACTGCAAAGGGCAAAATACCATACAAATGTGAATTTTTATAGTCCTGAGTTCAGTTCACTTTTATCTAGACTTTGTGGTTACAATCTACTCCTCTTAAATGGCTTTGTATATTTAAAAAACGATATCCCATTTCTTCAATATTATATAAAGAAAGGTTCAGGGGCGCCCGGGTGGCTCAGTCATTAAGCGTCTGCCTTCAGCTCAGGTCATGATCCAAAGGTCCTGGGATCGAGCCCTGCATCAGGCTCTGCAGGGCTCCCTGATCTGCAGGAAGCCTGCTTCTCCCACTGACCCTCCCCCTGCTTGTGTTCCCTCTCTCTCTGTGTCTCTCTCTGTCAAATAAATAACTAAAATCTTTTTTTTAAAAAAAGCAAAAATTCAAAGACTGGGAATAAATGTTAAGATGTGAAAATCAAAACATCATTTAGCAGGAAGCTTAGATCTGATTTCTAGGAATGTTGGACAGAGTTTCTCAGATGCAGTATGTACTGAAGCATAGCAAGATGTTAATGGGGCAATTTATTAACATATAAATGAACATATAAATGAACATATAAATGAACCCAAATATATTGGATTTTACAAAATTCTACATATTCTACATATTCATGTAGAATATGAATAGCTAAAAGATGATATTTCATTAATTGTTTTCAATTATGCTCTACTTTTATCAATGAAAATATTTCAATAAACTTCTCTGTATTTTTTATGGCAGTGGTAATAAGGTTCTAGAAGATATGTTTCTTAACAGTCTAGTCTTTCTTTGCAATTTGCTATGATTTTTACTTAACAGATTATAGTTGGCATTTTGGCTACTTACATTTTAGAAAGTGAAGTATTAGACTGTTTCCCAAACTAACAGTATGCAATTTCAATTTTGGTAAAAAAGAAGTCATAAATCATAGGCATCTAAATTTAATAAAGCTATATAGACAGTTATCTTAGTCTAACTTCTCACTTAGTGTAAAAATATCCTTGTAGTGTTTGTAATGAGGTGGTCATTCATTCATTCATTCATTCAACAGGTAATGGAATGTTGTACTAAAAGTTTAGATATAACAATGAATAAGACAGAATCAGCACCTGCCCTCATAGAACTTACAATTAAAATAAAAGAGAAAATACACAGGATCCAAAGGAACTAGGGGAAAGGGATCTAACTAGGTTGGGCAAGTTCTCTCTGATCTGAGTTGGAAGGCGTTCAGAATATTGAAGAGAAAAAACATTGACAGGGTAAGTCCAAAGTCAAGAAAGAGTATGGTTTGGTTTAAGAATTAAAAGAAGACTACTGAGAAATTAGGGAGGATAAAGATAATGAAAGGCCAACTAATTCATATTAGGAAACTTGAGGTTTTTTTTTTTAAAGATTTTTATTTATTTATTTGAGAGAGTGAGAGACAGAGCATGAGAAGAGAGAGGGTCAGAAGGAGAAGCAGACTCCCTGCTGAGCAGGGAGCAGGACGTGGGGCTCGATCCCAGGACTCTGGGATCATGACCTGAGCTGAAGGCAGTCGCCTAAGCAACTGAGCCACCCAGGTGCCCGAAACTTGAGTTTATCTTAAAAGGCAATGGAAAGCAATTGAAAAGCATATTCCTATCTTACCTTCACAAAAACAAACTGAACCTGAAAATTATATTCATATTATAAAAATAAACTGGAAATGGAAGTTATGAAACTGAAATATAAAGGGCAAATATTGGCTTCAGAAGCATAGAAATAACCTAAGTTCTTTTAAATACCAACATAAATCCTTTTCTATACTTTCTCTGTGTTTCCTCTTTAAAATAAAAATGCTATATGGGTGATCTCATTTCTTGGTGTGGCAGGAATATTAAATTGCCTGACTTAAAGCCATGCCCTCCACCCACTCCCAAATGGAAAATCAATGGTACTTACTACATCCAGCCTTATAGCTGAAGCCTGGAGGAAGGAGGAACCCTTGCTGAGCAGCTGCAGCCAGTGTCCGTTGATCAGGAGGGAACACGGGAATCATTAATGGCGGCAGTTGACCTTGGACCTGCTGAACGTTATAGAGCGAATCAAAGAGACGAAGTTTTGGTGCTCCATGCTTCCCACCCTCCTTACTTTATGATAAAAGAAAACCATTTATTCAATTCAAATATACTGGCATACAAGCTTGCTCAAACACTGGGCCTGAGGTCATGCCTTAGACAGGAAAATTAGAGTATACTATAGTTGGAAGGTGTTACCAAGTTCACTTTCTAACTTAATGAATAATTTCCCTAGATATCTGCATGAAGCATCACTACTTCATACAAACTTTTTTTATTGCATTAATGTAATGGTTAAAAAATTATCCTTAGGTCGAACTAAAATCTCCTTCTGTAAATCCTGTTAGGGGTAATGCTACCTTCTAAAACAAACCTAACTAAACTGGTATCGTTTTACATATAACTAGCTTTTTATTATTTGAAGATAATTGTCATGTTCATGTAATATTGCAATTTTTTAAAAAAAAGAGCTGGTAAAGAAGCCTAGAGAGTCACTAAGACTTTCCCCTTTGTTTATAGAAAGGTAACTAGGACTAAAAACGAACGGACTCGTCCATGGCCAAGGAATGGGACAGTTAGATTAGGTCTAAAATCCAGTCCCTTGAATCTCTTTCTGTGTTATACTTTTGTGTTTATCTATCTTTTACAATCAACTGAACCACTCCTCAAACCACAAAGTCTCTGTTTTGGTTGCCATCTTTGGAATACACTTTAATTTGCTGATGTCACTCTCACATCAGTAAATAAATAACCCAGTACAATGGAATCACTATCTTCTTTTTTTTTTTTATCATTCATTACCAGCTTTTTTTATTGGCTTCTCTTCTTTGAACTGAACAGAGATTTCTAGAAATATAATCTAATATAGTCATTTCTGCAACAATATCACATTAATGATTAATGCAAAGGTTTTCATCACTAAAATAAAATAAGTAGGCTTTTCCCCCCAAATATTTAATTAAGCAAGATGGCCCTGGTGAACATGATTATTGGTTAGTGTTTGTCACTAAACATATGATCAAGAATTTAGGATCATACTAAAAATCACATATTTGACACTTCATTCTCTCTCCCTTACTCCTCTTCCCACACATTAAGTTATTTGGAAAATATTTAATTAACACCTACTATGAACAAGAAAATGAGCTTGTCAGTAGGGAAAGAAGAGTGAATAAGAAAAGCAAGATTCAATGTAATGTATGCCCATTACATTACAGTGGGGACAATGATAAAAAACTAAGACAAACAAATATCCAGAAAAGATTGCAAATTCACTCAGTTGCCAAACCTAACAGCAACCCTGAGCCATCTCTCAGACTTGTTTTCCCTCTCTCTCATTGGCACTGAATGTTCTTGGAGCACTTATGATTCTCATAGTGCTCATCATTTCTCACTTTAAAAGTCCACCTTCAGTTTGTCCATTATTTCATCTTTCACAGTAAACCTCTGAGCTATTTCTGAGATTTTGGTTGTTGAGAATATGCACTGTGGTTTGGGGCAGGGGGAGGATGTTTAGGAGAAAGGTGGGAGGGAGGGGCAAGAGACACAGAGACAGAGACAGAGAGAAAAATAAGCACTGTAAGAATGAGAGATCTATTTTCAGCAATGACTCCAAATTGGAAAGCATTTCTTTTAGCCAAAAGGATTTTAAACCTATCACGGCCACCAGAGTGAAACTAAAAGGGAATGACAACAAAAGAGGAATACAAAAAGAGTGTCTTAAGGTTAGCGCGAAAGGTTTAGATCACTACAGCCAGCATTTTTTGAACATATTGGAGGAAAGATATACCTTATGTAGACACCAATGGAAAACGATTAAAGACTCAAAATTAGAGAGTGCATACTGAGCAAGCTTGTAGGAATAAGTCATCTAAAACAAGAGATAGACATCCAAAGGCAAAACAGCGTGGGTACTAGTTCATTCCAAGAAGAGGATGCTGAGCAGAATGACAAGCAAAGAAACGAACAGCAAGCCAGCTCCTGTATATATTTTACACTTTGTTGTTTGTAAGTTATCATATTGTATACAGTACATCTCCTTTCGAAGATACCATCGGTTATACGATGTACAGATAAATTTAACAAGAGCATTTTAGAGGGAAGAAGAAAGGGACTTCAAATGAAATGCATATAAGGGTTATAAGATGTATCCAAATTTCAAATACCTTAAAATTTGGGAAAAATAACTTCCAGAATTGTAGAAACAATAAGTTATTGTTTGGGTGCAGGAGTTCTCAAACTTGAATGTATATTAGAATCGCCTGGCAAGCTTTGAAAAATTCTCAATGCCCAGACTGCTTCCCAGACAACTGAATCTGAATCAATAGGGGTGAGACCCAGCCATGAGCATTTTTAAAAGTTCCCACACTGGAATCAGTGTGCATCCAGATTTGAGAGGTACTGTCTTAAAGAATGCTTTCAGTCACTGTCGACAAATCTTTTTGTCTTCTTCATGTTTTGCCTTGAGTTACAGAGTGCCTTCAGGTATATAAGCAGTTGAAAGGTAGACTGCCTGACTCTTATACGTTCTGCGGCCCACAGGGTAGTACCAGATATTAAGCTAGATGGTTCAGAGAATTCCTTCTAATTGAGTCTTTTATCTGTTTTTATATGTCCCTTTTGTGAGAAACTTCTGATGGTTTGTTTTTACCTAAAGAAGAGCAACCAAATCCCTCAGCACCGTATTCAAGATTCTTCACAATTTGTCCTCAGTCTATGTTTCCAGATATGTTGGCCTTCTTCAGATCCTGTACTCTTGCCTCAAAGCACCATCAAGAGTTCCTCACATACTCGGTGTTTTTCCATGCCTGAGTGTGTTCAAAAGTATTTTCTCCTCTGTTTTGAGTGATTTCTCTTTTCCTTTTCTTCTTGGCAAAATTCTACTTATTTTTCAAAGGCTTTTGAGACCCACATAATGTGTTTGCCTGTGAAGCACTTCTTTCTTGTGGTGCCAATTTTCAGGCAGAAAGAACTGTTATTTCTTTTAACCTCATAAAGCTAATACAATACTTACTGTATTGAATAATAGTTACTTGTATAACTCAAGTCTCCCTTATGGCCTATGAGCTTATTTAGGAAAGAGGTTGTAACTTATTACTGTACCTCTAGAGCTTAGCACAGTAGCTGAAACCATTATATATGTATTGATAATTCATGAATAAAGAAGAACAAATTATATAGTCCTATATTCTAAAATACATCTTTGTGCACCAACTTCAAATGTCCACAAAAGGCCAGTGGACAACAGTTACTTAATGCCCAGAAAGGAATCTAATTTCACCAAAGAATGACAGCATAAAGTACTAACTGCTTTGTGTTCTTATTTTTAAGCCATAGCTAAATAGTCTTATACTTTATGATATGTTCATGATTCTTAGAATTATGTATGCATGATGAAATAGAAAAGTAATCCAGATATATTAGAAATTTATTACATATTTCTATAATGGACAGATATGCCTGCCTATCACATTCTAGTATCATGTTGTTTAATTAAACCTTTACAGTATGTTTTAATAATAGGTAAAGTTACTACTCTATCATTAATATTTTCTTTTTCAAATATTTCCTGGATGTTTTTAACATTTATTTTTCCACATTAATTTTAGGATATGGAATTTCTATTTGAATTCATTGACCTGATGGCTTGATAGCCAATCTGCTATTGGCAGTTAAGGCCTGCTGCCTTATCTTTCAATTTATTCAAATCTTCTTTTGCCTCATATAATTCTTGTAGATTTTTGGTAATTCTATTTTTAAGTTTTGTTTAAAAATATTTTTATGTCCGGGGTGCCTGGGTGACTCAGGAGGTTAAGTGTCTGACTCCTGGTTTCGGTTCAGGTCATGATCTCAGGGTTGTGGGATTGAGCCCCGCGTCTGGCTCTGTGCTTGGTGCAGAGTCTGCTTGGGATTCTCTCTCTCCCTCTCTCTCTGCCCCTCCCCCAGCTCACACACTCTCTCTCTCCAAATGAAATAATAAAATTAAAAAAAAATATATATATATATTTTATTGCTATCATAAAGGGAATGTTTTCTTGTTATATTGCTTAACTAGTTTTTGTGTGTACATAGACTATTTGTGTGTGACAGTTTTTATCCATGTAATTCACTTAAACCCTAATAATTAACTAATTTTTCAGGTAAAAATTCGACTATTCCAAAGAATATATTGTAATGAATTCCAGTGCTTTTAAAAATCTGTCTAGTCTAAACCTTTTGTCTTATTATGATTATGGAAATGCATTTTGCTTTAGTTTTATAATTTGTTTTAGTGTCTAAATTTTCCAAGATCCAAATATATATAGAATAACAGAGTTTTAAGGTTGAGAAACAGTAAAATAAATATAATCCAAAATGTGTGGCTAATCCACATTTGCAACTAAAAATGCCTCTCAAAATACAGTTGCTCATTATTTGTAGAATCTATATGTGCAAATTTGCCTACTCACTAAAATTTACTTGTTACCCTCCCACCACCAAATTTACTTGTAGTAGTGCTTCTGCAGTCACTCACAGACATGTGCAAAGGAGTAAGAAATTTTGTTGGTGATTTCACTATTTAAAATGCATATAAAATCAATAATAAATATAATAAATATTAATAAGGTGTCTTTAAAAGGAAACACACATAAAATAAGGTTATGTGTTGATCAGGTGATGAAAATGGTGTGACCAAAGGCTCTCAGGAACCTAACTGTACTTTCCCCAGGAGCAATTGTTTGGTATTTGCTAATTCAGCATTCATGGCAACTTTATAGAACATAACTACTGCCAATATGAGTACCAATTGTATTACTGCTATATCTTAACTAATTTTCAGTTTACTGCTACTGAAATTTAGTCACTCTTTGGGAGAAAAGGACACATCACATCAAAACAGTATAATGCTTTCTGGATAAATTCTAAAACTAGTTTTTTAGAGGGCTAGTAATTCACACTTACATATTTGCAGTTTTGAATATTTCCAAATCCTATTCACTATTAACTTCATTTATTTTCTTTGACT